ACGGTAGCCCCTTTCTGATGGATGCCCATAAAAATCTTCAAAATTCCACATTGCTCATCTATCCAAAACGGTTGGGGATCCTTCATCTAATAGGGCTATACAGGATTGCATTCATAATGACCTGGCTGTAAGCATAAAATGATTTGGTAGATGACATAAATATCACAATCCTTTTTATTAGCAGTATTTTCAAATAAAACCACAAAAAATTTTCCAATTCACCACCCAACATATACTTTACATCTATGAAAGCAAAGAGTCTTTGGCACTGAGACACCTCATTAAAGCAAAGCATCAACAATGTCTTTTGGCTGATGACAAAACATGACCTAATAGGACAATAAACTGATACAGAAAGTAGCAGTGTACAATTTCCAATACATTGCACAGAAAATGAAGATATTCATCCATAAATATAGCCACTTAGTAACAATTTCAAATAGACAATAATATCATATTTAGACTGTAAAGCATCAAACGCTGGGACAAAATTACTGAAGAGACTAAAAGAAGAGGGGAATACCTACACAAGCATAAGTAGTTTGAGATTCTATGTTCAACGTTCAATATTTCGGTCATTGTAGAAATTCACAGGCTATCAATACTTACTACAATGTTAAATAATTTATTTAAAAGTCCAGAAAAAAAAACATATAACCTATCTTTCCATAGACATAAAAACCAAAAGGACATTCCCTGGTTTTATAACATGAAGCCATGTTGATGTGTTTAATGATCTTTCAAATACGGCACGCTTCTAATGCCAGTGCAAAATGCCTGGCGTTGTGACAAGGTGGAACAAGTGCAGGGATCTCCCACAAGGATCTCATCAGCTATTGAGTTATGGGTCTCCACCTAGATCCACATGTAAACATTTCTCTGGAATCAAGGACAGTTGGGGATGGAATATAAGAATGAGTGGCATGTGCTAATGGCACCTTTGTACACATGATTGGGAGTGTGTTTGCAAAATGCAGCTGGGCCTGTGTAGTTCCCACTTTTCTGCTGACTATGGCAAATCAGTCAGAGAGAGACTGAATTACCAAAACTAGGTAGTGATTTTCATTACTAAATGGCTATTTGAAGCTGATTTTCCCCAAGTGCAGATCAGTTGCCTGATGCTGTATATAATATAATATAATATAATATAATATAATATAATATAATATAATATAATATAATATAATATAATATAATATAATATAATATAATATAATATAATATAATATAATATAATATAATATAATATAATATAATATAATATAATATAATATAATATAATATAATATAATATAATATAATATAATATAATATAATATAATATAATATAATATAATATAATATAATATAATATAATATAATATAATATAATATAATATAAGTGTGTGTGTGTGATCTCTTTGATGGAATTATTATAATCCCAACTAAACAGACTGTTGTAGTTCCACAGTTGCTGCCATCTGTGGTACAGACTGATAAAAATGGGTAGATAGCAATTTTTCTCTCTCTTTCTCTCCCTGTATACAGTTCCATTAACTTCAATGGATCTGGTGTGTTTTGATTTCCCAGTTGTTTCATTACCCACCTGTTCTTGTCATTTCAGACTGACCCTGACAGAATTCCATCAAAGTTCTGTTCCATTAAGTGGCCAGAATTAAATGGAGAATTTCAGTTTCTGAAAATGACTATGCTGACATCAGTAGAATCTCTGCTCTGCCTTTCATCTCTGGGAAAAGTCAATCCAAAAAGTTATTTATTTCTCCAATTTTTGCAGACAAGTGCCTCATTTGGTTAATAGAACTCCATCAATGGTCTGAAAATGTTGCCCAAGAGGCATATCCCAATTTTTATTGGAATGCATGATATAACTTGTTCTCCCTTGCTCCATGTTGTTAAGAGAAGAAAATTTAATCAAGACTTGTTAATAATTTAATTCTAATAGTATTTTAATGAAACACGCATTAAGAATTTAAACTTCAGAGTCCAGATGATTATCTGTAAAACTTGCATCAATTAGGTACAGATGTATCTTTTTTACAAAATATATTTTGATTATAGGATAGAGTATTATTTTTGTCTGCCCATACAACATCAATATTATGAGACTGGAAAATGGGTGTGCAAAGCAGTGGTTTCTACCACTATTCCTTGGGGCGCAGTTCTTTTTCACTTTACGCTGACCTCATGAATTCCATTCTTTAATGTTACACTTAAAAGTATAACTTTATCCTTGTTACAAAATACAGGAATATTTAATTTCTGACATGATGATTGGAGGATAAGACAGGGATTGGCCAATTCTTGGAGAATTTAATATTCTGGTTTTATAAGGCCTGTTGGAATATTCTTAACATCTCTTGCCTGCTCTCAACTACTATTGTGTTAATGGGTGGAGAGGAAAAGATGCTCAAGACAAGAATGCAGAAGATTCTGCACATGTTACCTGCCCATGGGTATGAACAGATTGCAGTGGGTTGTATTTTCTGGCAATACAACACTTCACAGAAACAAACGGGATGCTACATTGTGGTTCTACAAGTAAGAAAAACAAGAACGCAATGACACAATGCAGAAGAAGGCTCACATTTGGACACAGTCCACGTATAACTCCTTGCACACTAGAAAAGCTTCAGTGATATAGGTCCAAGAACCCGACAGACAACTTTCTTCCCTTTTAGGTTGCATTAAGAAAACAAGAAATGCTTTGACAAGTATAACAGCTAAGACTGCAAGAGCTGTATGAACATTGCTTTCATCCTGAGACTGTGTTTTCTTAGCGATAGCGAACCTTCTGAGCTTTGAAAATGTTATCTAGGTAAAAAGGTAGATTACGACAACTTAAAATGGCACACGTTTTTTGTTTGTTTTTAGACCGCCATCCTTAAGTACAAAATGCTTTGTAGTTATACTTGCTCAATTGCATAATCTGACATTTGAACAACTCCAACATCACCCTGCAGAGGTACCTTTAAACCATCTCTTCAATATGTTATTACCATTTATTCATTTGCAAGCAAACCATGCCATGTAGGTCACACATCTTCTTATTGGCATTTATTTGCCTTTGCTTTAAAATGGGAAGGAGGGTTAAAACCCTCAAAAATAAATGCCTTTGCATCAATTCACAGATGAGGACAGTGTTTCTCAACCGTGGCCACTTTAAGATATGTGGACTTCAACTCCCAGAATTCCCCAGCCAGCCATGCTGGCTG